CTGTCTCTGCAGAAATAGTTCTTAGAAAAGCAGTGTTCCCTGTCCACATTTTCCAAGTCATATTTATAAAATGTCGTCACCAATCTCAGCTTTTAATCCTCCTGCAATTAAGTCTATCAGAGATTATCTGATTGGCCTCAGGAACCTGACTGCTCCAGGAAAGGGAACAGAACTCCAGGGAGGCATTTGAACATCCAATCCCAAGGGAAGAGACAGAGGATGGTGGGAGAGTAGAAGGCCATCAGGGAACCAACATAGTTCAGATGTATGTGTTGGGCCTACCCAGGCGTCAAGGGGAAAAAGAGAAAGTATCCATGTGAAGTACGTGATGGAAGCATGGCCTTTGGTGAGAACCTGGGTGCAGACTCCAGCTCTACCCCTTTACTAGTTATGTGGCTTAGGCAAGTTATTTCATCTCTCTAAACCTTTGTTTTCTCATCTGTAAAATGATGAGACTAAAATTCTTACTTCGCAGAGTATTGAATGCCTGTGTCCCTCCTCCCCTTCCAAATCACATTTTGAAGTCCCAATCCCCAATGTGATATTACATGGAGGGGGGCCTGTGGGAGGCAGCTAGGTTAAGATGAGGTCATGAGGATTGAGCCTCCATGTTGGGATTAATAAAAGAGAAGAGAAGAGAAGAGAAGAGGGGAAAGGAGGGCAGGAGAGGAGAGGAGGGGAGAAGGGGAGGGAAGGAGGGAAGGAGAGAAGAGGGGAGAAGGGGAGGGAAGGAGGGGAGGGGAGGGGAGGAGGGGAGAAGGGGAGGGAAGGAGGGGAGGGGAGGGGAGGAGAGGAGAGAAGGTACTTGCACACCAAGGAAGGCCATGGGAGGACATAATCAACAGGAGGCCCCTCACCAAGAGCCTGAGCATGCTAGACCCTGACCTTGGATTTCCAGAAAGCCTCCAGAACTGTGAGCAGTCAGCTCATGGTATTTGGTTACAGCAGGCTAAGCAGACTAAGACAGTGAGTCTTGTGTGGCTAAGAAAACAAGCCTGCGAAGAGCCCCAGTCACCCCACAGTTATACTCTGAGAGCCACAGTTGCCTGTCAGGGAGGGAAGCCAGACTGCAGCTAGAGAGGCCTACCCATCTACACCCTGCTTGCTCACAGACTCCTGAGAAGAAGGCAAATATGAATGTCACGCTGTGGGTGCACAATAGGAGTACTGGCACATGGGGAACCAGGATTAACTCTGGACAGGAACTCCCGGAAACCTTGGAAGGGGTCAGATGAAAATTCAGAGTGTCAACAAGTGATTTGATCCTTTGTGTGATGTAGAGTAAATGCACAAATAAATGGCTGTAGTTACTATAACCACCTTTATCACTGACCTCTTAAAACAGTTTTATAGCATCCTAAATGGCCATAATGTTTAATTGCTTGGATCAACATTCTCTTTTGTGGTCTAATCCCAAAGCCTCCATTTGCATTTATAACATTGAATTTGTAGGTTTCCTTCAAACTAGTTTAGAACTAAAGTTTTGAAACTACTACCCTTTAGTAAGTATAAACCAATGTTGAGAGTTGCTAAATTGTTTTTGTTATTCTTTATAGTTACTTATCACTTCTCAACTTCTCACTTAAAAAAAACCCTTTCACATAATTGCAAAGGAACTGATATAAAATTATATATGTAAAAATACATAAACACAAAATCACAAAATCATATATGTATCAGTCTGTTTTCTGTTACTGTAACAAAATACCTAAAGCTGACTACTTTATAAAGAAAAGAAGCCCAACATAATAGTACATGCCCATAGTCCCAGCTTCTTGGGAGACAGAGGTAGTAGGATAGTGGGTTTAAGGCCAGCCCAGGCAAAGTTAATGAGACTCTATCTCAAATGAACAAACAACAGCAACAGAAAATTAAAAACCAAAATACAAACAAAAGGACTGAGGGTGTGGCTCAAATGGTAGTGTTTGCCCTGCATGCATGAGGCCCCGGGTTCAAAAACCCAGTAAAAAGAGAAAAAAAAACAAAACAAAATATTTAGCACACTGTTCTGGAGACTCAAGGTCATGCTGCTTGCTTTGGCTCAGCTCTGATGAGGACCTTATGGTGTGTGGATGGCATCATAACAGTAAAACATGAGAGAGGAACAGATCACATGGTAAGACAGGAGGGTGAGGCACGGGGAAGGGTCATGCCTTATAACAACCCCATAAGAACTCTCTCTCAAGAATTAGCTCGGTCTCATGAGAACTCCTTCATCCCTTCCATGCTAGCACCTGCAATAACATAACCAAGTCCTACTAGGCTCCACCTCTCTCTCTCTCTCGCTCTCTTTTTTTTTTTTTCTTATGCTTTCTTTTTGGTGGTACTGGGATTTGAACTTAGGGCCTTGTGCTTGCTAGGCAGGTGTTGTACCACTTGAGTCATGCCCCCCAGCCCAGGCTCCATCTCTCAACACTGCCACATTGGATACTAAGTTTCCAACACATGAACCATTTGGGAGACAAACCACATCCAAGCCATACAACATATAATATAAATATAAGCATATAAGCTGTAATATGAAACTATGTTATTAAATTGGAAAGAGAAAAGAGAGGAAAAAGTCACTTTCAGCTATTCCTCTACATGTAATTATTGTTCACTGCTGGGTGCATTTCTTTCAAATTTTTCTTAACTCTCTCTCTTTAGTTGTAACTATAGCACACAGATAGTTTACTTCCATTCTCTTTTTTCATTCAAGTTTTAATCAAAAGTGTTTCTATGTTTTTACTCAGCAAGAAAATATCTCAGTCTCCATTTTATTCATTTAGTTGATAATATGCTTGATTAGGCAGGTACTCTACAGCTTGAGCCTCGCCTCCAAACCGGAATTTTTCTCAGTAATTAAGAGCATAACCACCTTTTAAGAGATGAATTCATATTATCCTACCTCATGCTATTGAAGTATGAAATCAGAACCACAATTTTTCAACTGACAGTAAGAAATATGTACAATGAAGTCCAGATAGCCATCAGTGTCTTTGCGTGTTGGCCATCCCCAGACCAGACCCTTTAATGTGGAGTAATAGTGACAGTCACTATTTAGTGGGTATTTACTGTGTACCAAGAGGTGGGCCAGATTTTTATATAGTAATATATTAGGTCTAGTCCCACAGTCACTTCTCTTGGTAGGTACTATTTTACCCCGCTTTACAGATAAGGAAACTGAGGCTCAATTAAGCTACTGGCTCAAGGTTACATGGTTGACATGTGGTAGAACCATAATTTCTGTCTAAATCCAAATCCCTTAATTTTTTTTTTTTTGGAATATAGGTTTTTTTTTCTTTTCATTTTTATTAGCATATATTCATTGTACAGGGGGGATTCATTGTGCCAATTCCCAATAGCCTTGCATTGTACATTGGTTAGATTGCCCCCACCATCTCCCTCCTCAACCCCCTCCCTGCCCCACTTAAAGCAATTATAAGAGGTTTCATTGTTCTGTTTCATGTAAGCATACGAAGCCCATCAACCATATTCCCTCATCTTCATCTCCTTCACTGTCCTCCCCATCCTACAAGTACATCCCCCCACTGTACCTATTTTATAGTCCTGTCTTTCATTTTTAATTCCAAAGTCAGTATTCAAAGGAGTTATTCAATGTATCCCAGCTGTGAATATGCTTTACTTTGATCAGTTCAACCCCCTTTGTTACTCTCCCTTACCCCTTCCCTCCAACCCCTCATTATTCGACAACTTTCAGTACATACTGTTATGTCCTCTATCTGCACAGGCATAATGCATTTCAATATTGTTGACTCTAGCATTCTCTTTTCCTTTCCCTCCTCCCCAAGTGCCATAGAGCAGTTCCATTATTGCAAACATGTTCTACATGTAAATGTGTATACGATCATATTTGTGTATATGTTTATCTTTTGTATCTATCTTCCACATATGAGAGAAAATATGTAGCCTTTGTCTTTCTGAACCTGGCTTACTTCACTTAAGATGATATCCTCCATTTACCATAAAACATTTTATACTTTATATATATAAAACATTTTCTTAATCTATTCATCAGTTGTAGGGCATCTGGGTTGTTTCCCAGATGTTACAATAGCTTGGCTGTTGTGAACACGCTGCAGTAAACATCAGTGTGTAAGTGTCTCTGTTGTATCCTGACTTATGTTCCTTCAGGTATGTGCCCAGGAGTGTATCACTGGATCAGATGACAGTTCTATTTTTAGTTTTTTAAGGAATCTTGATTCTTTTCCATAATCCAAACCCTTTATCTTAAACACTGTAGTTCAACCTGTTTTTCTTTTTCTTTTGCAGTGAAAGTAATAGGAAAGTTTAGTAGGAAAGTAACATGATTAAAGGGGGGAGAATGGAAAAAAAAGGGAGAAACATTTTTTATTCCCCATGTGGGAAATGAGATCTGCCTTATAGATTGTTGGCCTCCTCTGTTGGGATTCTCTTTGTATTTCTTGCCCTCACCCCACCCCCACTGTTGGGATGTGCCTCTTGCTGGTGCCTCATTGAGAGTACAGCATCCATTCTCTGTTTTTGAGGGCCATGTTTTCCTGATTCTTACAGGATAGAAGACCTTTGGTCTTTTCTTTTGGCAAATACATTTCTGTCACAAGGCATCACATTTTGTTAAGTCCCTTAAAATCTGTGCCAGAAAGGGGCAACTGAGGAAGAGAGCCATTGGGATGAAGTTTAGGCTGTGGCCATTTCAAAAATCAGCATTTGTAGTTGCCCCTCTCTCTTCACCTTTTTGTTTCTGCATACTGTCTGGAAGTATCTTCCCTTTGTGGGTGATAGACAGCCTGGGCAGTAACCCAGAGAGAGCTCCTGTGATGTATAGATGGTTGGAGCCTTCTACCTAGCCCTGAAGTTTCTGGTTTCTGGTTTCTGATCTCTAAACCCTAAATGGGAGAACTGCCATTACTTTTAGTTAGGGTCCCTTGGGGATGGTTTTTAGTGTATGCTGAAGTGAATCATTTCAGGACAGGATTTCCATTTGAAACAGCACGTCCTTTGTGATTGTCGTTTAGAGATCATTGGAGCAGAACTGCTGGGTGACAGCAGGCATCACATCGTCAGATGTCATCAAGTTTGCATTCAGACTGGAAAAGTTTAGCTTGAAGTTGCCTGCCTTGGAGCAGAAGTACATCTAACTCACGAGATAAAAGACATGGGCTGCAACCTACCTTTCCACCTTTCCTACAAAGTCCGATTGCTATTGCTTTTTACCCTGTGCCTGACAGTGGTGGGGTGGGCCACCAGTAACTACTTTGTGGGTGCTATTCAAGAGATTCCCAGAGCAAAAGCTTTCATTGCTAATTTCAATAAGGCCATAACTTTGGGAAAGGAAGACACTCTGACCAATGGAGCATCTGTGAAAAAAGCGGAACTGGAAAACTGCCCTCCCGTGTCTCCGAACCTCAGTAAGTGCTTGCTTTTTCCTTTTTCATGGGTGCTATGTAAACTTTTTATTTAACACATTGTGCAGAAAAGCTTAGAAATCAGAAGTGGATAGCTAAGTATCACAAAGTGAATATATTCCAGGAAGCAGCCTGCAAATTAAGAAGTGCAATCTCACTAGAACCCTAGAAGTTCCCATTCTGCTTTCAGTCACTACCCTGGCTTCAAGAGTCTAATAATGTTCATTAGATTTTTTTTCCTGGTTTTGAACCTTGCATATTGGAAATATGTGGTGTGTACTCTTTTGTGTTTGGTTTCTGTTATTCAACCTTATTTTCTGAGATCAGTTTCCATGGGTGCATGTGGTATAGGCTGCTTATTCTCACTGATATGTGGTACATCATCTGAGCATACCCAGTCTTATTATCTAGCCAAGGAAGTGTGAGTAGCACACAATAGAGTCCATTGATTTGGGCCTGTGGCTCTGTTCCATGTCTCTCATCCTTCTTCTAGGACCAGTGGGCTAGCCTGGGCACATTCTTTTCATGAATCGGTAAGTGGAAATATGCAGACACAATCAATTCTCCACTGTGTCATATCTGTTAGCCAAAAGTTATCTCTTGGCCAAAAGTATGGAGTCAAGGTGCAGGGATGAAGGTTTTGAATGTTTTTAGTGTTATTTCTATATGTTTTAGTGTGATATCTTGTGTATTTCGATTTCCCTTAAATGTTTGCCTTTCAGGACAAATTAAGAATAAATTGGTTTTCATGAACACAATAAATTTGAGAAGGGAAAAAACTCCAGTAAGTGTTATTTCTCACACATCTTGATTCTCCAGAACATGAAAGTGCTTGTAGTTCTCCATATTGTCCTCTCTTTCTAGAAGAGAGGCATTCCCTCTTTCTAGAATGCCTTTTCTCAATCTGTGTCTGCCTAGTGGATTCCTGTTGTCATCAGAAATCTAGCTTAGATCTTGCCTCTTCCAGAAAGGTTTCTGGGAGTTCCTATTCAGAATTAATATTGGTTTCCCATGTGCCAGTACCCCTACTGTGCACCCAGTGTGACATTCATGTTTGTCTTCCTTTCAGGAGACTGTGAGCAAGCACGGTATAGAGCATACAGGGTGTAGATGGGTGGTCCTTTCTAGCTGCAGTCCAGCTCCCCTCGCTGACAGGCAGCTGTGGCCCTATGTGTGTACTAAGAGAGCGCTCTGTGGGGTGGCTGAGTCTCTTTGCAGGCTTGGTGTTCTTAGCTACACAAGACTCACTGTCTTAGACTGCTTGGGCTGCTGTAACTAAATACCATGAGCTGACTGCTCACAGTTCTGGAGGCTTTCTGGAAATCCAAGGTCAGGGTCTAGCATGCTCAGGCTCTTGGTGAGGGGCCTCCTGCTGATTATGTCCTCCCATGGGCTTCCTTCTCTCTCTCTGTCTCTAATCCCAACATGGAGGCTCCATTCTCACAACCTCATTTTAACCTAATTGCCTCCCCAAATCCCCCACTCCAAATAATATCACACTGGGGGTTCAACATACTAACATGGGCAACACAAGCATGCAGTTCCCCTTCCTAATTGAATCACAGTCTTGTGTTGAATTCATTTTGACATAGTACTTTTCTTTAGTCAATCATGTAGAAGCAAAAACATTATTCTTGACTGTAATCAATCTGTTCACAAATTACACATTTGAGATGTGAAAATGAATTATAAAATGAAAACTGTATTATCCCCCTTGCTCAAAGTCCTCATAATATATTCAAAAGATCTGCAATGATGCAATTCTAAGCAAGTACTAGATGAGAAGTGTGATGTAAATAGTGATATCTTAAGATTGGTCCTTAGTGACCCAAGAAAGAATAAAATTAGTGGTGGGGAGCTGGAAGGGGGACTGGAGGGAAGAAGCAGAAGCAGATTCTAGGTTAGGGCATATAAAAGTTGCAGCAATGAATGAGAAGGCAAGCAAAGGAACTAGTTTGTATCAGACCTGTTGCATGAGACTTTTTGGAGTGCACAGAGATACTAGGTTCATGATGGGGTTTATTAACAAGCCACACAGGAAACTGTCTGAATAACTACCTCTTCATGCTGCAGTTCAGTTGTGGGTGGTGGCTCTCATAGCACGTCTCCTTTGTAATTCTTACTGTTTGTTTGCAGGGTGTGACTGCCTGCTGTCTCTATATCTTTCATGCAGACCTTTCAGAAGGCTTTTGGAGGCCAGCTAGTCTTTGGGTGGCTAGAGGGGATTATTTGCCCTTGGTGCTATTGGGAGCCCCAAGGTACTGGTAGACAGACATTTGAGCCTGGTCTAAGCAGCCATGGCCAGGGTAGGGGATCGTCCCAAAGAGCAAGGTGTGAGGACTTAGTCTGCTTGGCACAGAAAACCTCAGGTTGCAAACAGTTTAAGGCTTTATAGCCTGACCGGCATATGTTAAAAAGGGGACTTGTAGGGACGGAAACCTAGCTCAGTTCTTCCAGCGGAACTCTGCCTCCTCTCTCCAGGCAGCATATCCTGTTAATTCAGGTCAAACAGGATGGCCAGTTGCTTCAGCCTGATACTTGAAGCCTTGCACAGGATTGGTTACCATGGACACTGGGGTTTCATTGGTAGGGCTGCTTCCACACTCACTGAGCAAATGCTGTGCTTGATTGGAAGTGTCCGCCAGGACGGCACAGTGGAAGGATTGCTGGGCATTGCACATCCTGTCATGGCTGGGTTAGGGTTAGGGAATGAGGCTGGTTTCTACTTCTTTCCAGTGCTTTACCTTCAGGGACCTAGGAGCAGAGAGTTAGGGAAGAAAGAAGTGAGAAAGGTGCCTTGTCTGGGAGCTTATTCCATGGGATGCTTTGGGTTTTTATATTTCACTCTTCTGGAATTTTGAGAAGGAAAAGAGTTGAAGAGTTACTCAGTCTAACCTTTGCTGGGTACCTTGGTCACCAGGACAGTGGCTAGAGTTGATCAGATACCAGTTACTTGCTTCTGCAGCCAGTTACCTGTGCCACATGATTCTATGGTTAGAGGTGATGGTGAAATGAGGCTTTAGTAATAAGGGGTAACATTCATGTTGTGCTTCCTGTGTGCCAGGCAGTGTCTATGCACTACTGTGTTAGCTGTGTAAGCCTCCCAGCACTTTATGTGACAGCTCCTCTGTTGATTGTAGGAGGCCAGAGCAAGCTCATTTTCAAACCAGACCTCACTTTGGAGGAAGTACAGGCAAATAATCCCAAGGTGACCCGAGGCCGGTACCACCCTGAGGAATGTAAGGCTTCACAGCGGGTTGCCATCCTCATTCCCCACCGGAACAGGGAGAAACACCTCATGTACTTGCTGGAACATCTTCACCCCTTCCTGCAGAGGCAGCAGCTCGACTATGGCATCTATATCATCCACCAGGTGAGTATGGGGCTTTTCGGGGCCCTGCCTTGTGCTCTCCTTCTGAAGGGCTCAGCCATGTGACCCTTTGTCTGTCTTGGGCCAAGGAGTATTAAACTATCAACACAGGAGAGCTCTCTTACCTCACTTATCCTAGAAGAGAGTAGAGGAAATTCTTATCCCAGAAGGTGGAGTCAGGAGACCCAAGTTTAGAAATTTTACTGTCCTAAAATGAACCTCCAGAAGAAGTCTGTTTTTGTGAGCCCTTCCATGTTAGCCAATGCCTGTCCTAAGGTTTCCCCAGAGAGCTACAGGTTCCCTGATGTACCTTCTGCATTTGTCATGTGCTACATGGTGTGGTGCTGGACTTCTGTTTTTCCATGTCGAGGGTGGCTATTCAGTGGGTGGAACAGAGTGCTGGGTGTTAATAGTCATTGGATTCTGTGAATTTCTTTACATTCCTGCCTTTCTCTTTACCACTTTATCATTTTACACATCCCATGTTTAATTTTCACTTTCTTAATTCACTCATTTGGCTTCCAGGAGCATCACTTAGTAAGAACACAGTGTAACTGTAGGCTGTTTTTGAGCGATCAGTGGAGTGATTAAAGATGGCCTTATTTGATATTAAAGTTTATTAGAAGAAAAATAGGATATCAGTTTAAACATCTACACCTAAAAGTTTCAAGATCATCCTGGGTCTCCAAATAATGCTCCCTCAAGTCCTTACACACTCTAAGAGTGTAAGCAAAGTCATTAACTGCCTACTTAATATTGAATGTGACTGGTAATACTTGTTTCGACAACTCAGAGGATCAGATCTGCAGTGTATTCTTTATGATAGCTGAGGCTCTTGAAAACCAAGGTGCTAATTCAGTACATCTGTGTCTATTTTTTTGGACTTGAAACAAAACTTTACATTTATTTTGTTTTATGATTTTTTTGGTTTTTAACATTGTTCATCATAGCTGTGATTTATTTAATTCTGAGCTCTTACTCAGGATGGCAATTCCAAGGTACCGTATATTTTTATGAATGCAAACGCTTGCGTCTGCTTTGTGTCTTTTCAGAAAAGCAGTGGCAATGTCTGAAAACTGCCTGTACTTCTGTTGTGATAAATTGTTTATCAAATTGGAATTTATTCTTATGGAACTTGAACCAGTTAGCAATGGGCAAATTAATACTGTAAAGTCTTTTTCATACCCCAGCTTTGGTCATGTTACAGGACAGGCTCTTCTTACCCAGTGCCCACTCTGAGGATTAGCCTCTGCCATTAGTGTCATAACAGGTTGTATTGCAGTGATTTCCAAGAGACTTTTAAGTCACTTAGAAATATTAGCAACAACCTGTTTTTTTGCCAAGGGTCAGATTTGGACCTTGGTTATCCTACCTTTGCCTCCCGCCTAGCTGGGATTATATAGGTATGATCCTACATCTCCAGTGTGTTCCTTGAGATAGGGTCTCACTAGCTTTTTGCCTGAGCTAGTCTTGAACTACAGTCCTCCCATCTTTGCCTCTCAAATACTTGGTATTACAGGTGTGAGCCTCTGCATACAGCTAAAGTTTTGAGTTTTAAAAAATTTTTTACTATGGCAAGAAAACTATCCTCTTAATTTTAAGTGTATTGTTGATTATTTGAATTTTTTTTTTTCCAAGTTTTTGTGGAAATATTGACAGACGAGAAACCAAGTTGTTACGTGCTAGTGTCGAGGGTCCTTGCCTTCATAGGCCAGGGAACTGGCTTGTTACGCAGCTGAATGATGAGCAAAGCCGGTATATAAAGTAGGATTTATTAGAGAGAAAGGGAAGGCTATAGCTAGAGAAGCACAGTGGAGCCCGGAAGCCAGTGGCTCGCTGCACAGGTGGAGGCTGGGGTTTTTATGGACGTTTTAACTCTGGGTTAGGTGGGTTTTCTCATTGGCCATGGATTTGCGGGCTTTCTCAGGTGAACTGGTTTGGTTTGCACCTTTATTGGGGGAAGGGAACAATCTTGAGAGCATTTTGCTCATCAGCCCTGTGGCAGATTTGTATCTTTCCTTTAGGATGCAGGAATGCAGGCCTCCATCTCCTCAGGATACAGGAATGATATTGTCCTCCATTGGGGATGGGAAACTCACTCATCTGCCTTAGGTCTCCAGACCCAACAAATTCCCCCTCTGAGATAAGCACCCAACTGCTGTTGGGGAGAGGGATGATGATTCATCTAGCTGCTTCGTGCTGACAATGGGGTGATGGGGGGATAGGGGAGAGGGTACTTGTCTCAGGGGTTGACCTGTATAGTTTCCAGGGGCCCCCGATAGAACGGGATGGAGGACTCATGCCTAGGCAGAGGTGAGTATTCCTTGACTAAAAGCTGGAGTTTGATCTGTTGGACCTATTGAGATATAAATCTGGAGAGAGCATTTATTATACAAGACCCAAATAGGAATATTAGTAGGAGCATAAAAAGGTGTCTGGTAAGGGCTGTATATCTAGGGATCTAGATTTTACAAAATCCTGTAACTCCCAAGGAAGCTCTAAGCTGTTTTATGGTATGGGAGAGGATTGGGTTGATTCCCTTGTGACTTAGGGAGTGGTCTGTCCCTTTAAGAACACACCTAGGTAGGTGACCTGTGGGAGGCAGGGGCTGTCAGGATTTAGGTTAAATGTAGCACTTTTGGATAAAAGAGAGCTTTAGCCCATTATTTTATATAAATTGACACTTTTAACTTTGTAAATGTTTGTACCATATTTAGATAAAGTATAGACATCATACAGTTATAAGGTGGTCATTTAAGACACATGAGCAAATACATAAATGAACTCTGATTTAGTAGTACTTAAAGCTTGACAAGATCAGCAAAAACCACAAGTAATTTCTTTGATAAAATCTTTTCCTATAACAGTTTTTTTGTAGATGTTACTTAGAGCAGAACAATATTAAGATAACTTTGTTATTTTATAGACAAAGAATTTAATTTTGGTTTGACATGATCCTAAAAATCTGTTAGGCAACTCTTAGATTACAGTTAACTTTAACTTTATCACACACCAAAGCTTTTATTATACACTTTTAAGATTTACTCAGACCTTCATATAATATTTTGAACCCTTTGATGGTTTTTCCTTATCCTTCCTCTCCATATTTGAAACAATCTTTAAGACAAACCCTCTTTATAAAATCATTTTTCATCTAAAAAAAATTTTTTTTTCCTTTAACTTCTTAAAAAAAATACACTCAATACCTATCTATAGCCTTTCTACTTGTTTACTTTGTAACTTGTATTTTAAGATTAACTAAGAATTTTAAATTTATTTTAGGGGCTGGAGCAACTAATTAGTAGCCTTTTTGTTTTTTTTTTTTAAGGAATTTATGAGAGGCATAAGGCCTCATGTCCCTTAGGCTTGAGGGGATGTTGTTTTTGGCTGTGGAAACTGTGAGGGATTTTTGAGTTTTATTTAAATAGGGAGGGCCGTCCTGGCTCATCCTACACTCATCTCATCAGTCCACACTGTGGAATCTATTTGTTCCTGAAGGAGGGGGCAACAGAGATAGCTGCCTGGGGGGAGGAGAATTTGAGCTTTTAATTGAGATAGTAAATCCCGTCCCAGCAGGGGCACTGGAGTTTCAGGTACTATGAGAAGAGTGACAGAGGCGGAGGTCTCCCCAAGAGCAGGCCAGAGGCTGGGTAAAATAGTGCTCTGGGGGCTAGCCAGATTTGCCCCGAACGATAACTTTTGTCATTGGACCGGGGGCCAGGAGAGAATGGTAAGACAGAAGAATAGCTCCACTGTCTAGCAGGAAAATGACCATTTGTTTTTCTGCCCTTATGGCTCCTCAATATTGATGCCAAGAAGTGGAGCGTGGACAGGAGGCCGGGACCCATCATCCACAGGAGGTGGCACCCCGCCTTCCATCTGGAGATGGGGGCACTTAGACCTCCAGTGGTTACCCTTGCAGAGAGGGCAGGGTCCCTTTTGGGGGCGGAGCTGTCTCCTGTGCTGTTCCCCCTTTTGAGCATCCTCGGCAGAAGTGCCCTCCTGTCCACCATGGTAGCAAGTTCAGGCCCCAGTCGGGTGGGGGCAGCAATGAGGTCATGATGTCTCTTATGCGTTCTCGCGAGAGTTCGGCCCCCGAGGTTCGCGGGTGGGTGTGTGTTATATGTAGCGTACAATTAGACTGATAATCTTATACGTTTCTCCGGTGTTAGTAATGAGCTCAGTTACTAGCGGTTATTAATCATGGAGCGTACGAAAGTGTCGGTGGAGGATATGATATTGGCGTTCGAGTAACGCCGAGGGTATTGATTATCGCGTTGTGGCATTAGTCTCTGAGTCGTTAGGTATTGATGAGATGGATGCCAATGACTTTTTTCCTTCAGCCACACTTTGTTTTTTATGAATATCTGGAACTGACTGTTAGAAATTTATCTTTGAGGAGAACCTCTCCCACCTGTGACTCTGGGTCCCCTGTGGTATGCTTTCTGATAGTGTCCTTAAGATGCTGCAGAAAGGTAAGGGGGTTTTCTTCAAGGCCTTGCTGTACTACAGTCATCTGGGAATAGTTTAGAGGTTTGACTTTGGTCTTTTTTTTGCTCTTCCACTATGAGGTGGAGTAAGTGGCATTAACGCCATTTATCCTCCTCACCATTTTTTTTTTCTTTTGATTTAGCGATGCTGGGGAATTGAACCCGGGACCTTGCACATGCTGGGCAGACATTCTCCCACTGAGTGATGTCCTTAGACCCCAATTTTTTTTTTCTTTTGGCTATTCTGGGATTTGAACTCAGGACTTTGTGGCTGCAAAGCAGCACTTTACTGCTTGAGCCGTATCACCAGCCCCTTTACCGTTCTGATTTTCAGTGTGGATCTGTCAAGGGGACTGCCTGTGCCCCTGGAGGTATAGGCACACTCATTCCCATGGGTGCCACGGGTATTGGGGCTCAATGTAAATGGTAATCATTTCCAACCGGAGTGGCGTGGAGCAGAACCCACTGTTTTTCTAGTGAGGACAGAGTCTGGTCTAATAGAAGCACAATATCCTTCCATGCCAATTTAAAGAGTTTTGGATCACAAGGATAAAGGCTTGAATGTATTGATCTGTTGTATCAGTTTAGGACTACCCAGATCTTTTATAATTTTCCTTAGATTGATAACTGGAAGAGGGACGTAGACTTGCCCTCTTCTTACCATTGGCTGTTTGAAGGGGAAAGCACCCATTAGGAGGTTCTGAATATTAGGGTGGCTAAGAAGGTAGGGCATAGGGTGGAGCAGTAGAGGTGGGCCTTGTCATTGATAAGGGACATTTCTGGTCCTCCTTCCCCATGTTTATCCTGTGGCTTCCAAAGAATGGCCAGCATTTGAGTATCTAGATAGCAATTGTGGAGCCAATCTGGGTGGTCTTGGAGATAAGAGAAAATTTATATAAGGGACCTCAGTTTATTTTTTCCTCTCTTTTACAGAAAAGGTCTAATTGGAGTATGGTATTGTAATTTAAGGACCTCTGTGAAGGCCACTTCTCTTGGTCACCCAAGGTATGCTGAGGTCAGGCCTCAGTACAAAGCTCTAACATTTCCTTTTAACATTTTAATAGACAAGCCAGAAGACTGGAAGGGGGCAGATCCCATCTAGAAAGACGACAACAATAAACTGGGTCAGTTCCCTTCTCGTCAGCGTCCTGACTGGGAATGACCTTACTAACGAGTCCAGGTGTCCCTGTCTTGTGACTTCCCCCCCATCTGTGGTCAGGACCAGGGAAAGTGGACTGGTTGGGTTAGAGCACCTGACCAGCACAGTGAGAAGAGAAAAAAAAAAAAAAAAAAAAAACACTAGGATCCTGCCTTGTATCTAACAGCAGGCAGCCTCTTTAACAAAGGAATATATCATCTGTAAAGTTAGAGAAGGGCATTCAGAGGGTGTCCCAGGGCAATAACAGAACCATAAGGGACGACTAGTGCTAATATTTGGAGGGAAAATTTATGCTGAGGCCAAAAGTATAGGAAATTTTAAATGAGAAGTTTAGAGACCACAGTAACGGCCATTTTGCTATTTCTGGGACCATAACCTTGAGATAATAATTAGCTTATGAGGGCTGGGCAGTTCAGGCCCAAGGCCTAAGGTGGGGCCGGGAGCTGGGCTTGAGCAAAGTGCCATTGCCCCCTCCCATGCCTGTGATGAGTGATCCCATCCTGTGGCCTGCCGCCCCTCCCCCTTCCTGTGTACAAGTGCCTGCGCACGTTTATTTTTCCTCTCATCCATTTTGGGGAAGTGGTGGCCAGCCACAGCCATCGCCATGTGTGGCTGGTGGCTTAGGATGTGCTGGGTCCTCTCTATGGATTCTCTTAGCTATGGCAGGTGTTCCTGCTGTGTCCAGTGGGCCGCCATCCCTGTGCATGAGCACGCCTGTTTGCTTTCCCTCGTCCCCCTTGTGGGGGCGGAGTTAGGGGATGAGAGTGGCAGCCGCTGGTTTTTTTGTAAGCGCTTTTGCCTCTCTGGTGCCTAGCAACTGAGAGGGCAGACCCAGAGGGCTGGTAAACTAGTTGGAATAACTTAAGTCATAAGGTACCATGCTACAAGTTTTTCATGGGAAGCCAGTATTCCAGTAAGCCCAGGGAGGGGAAGACAGAGATAAAAGACAAGGTGGGACCAGGGAGGGAACAGAACGGGTGTGTTTTCCAAACTCACTGAAGGAAGCCCACAGTTATTTAGAACTGCTTGGGAAAGAGGAAGGAGAGACTGAGGGTTGGGGGAAAAGAGTTTCCAGGCTCAATGCATGAGGGATTATTGGTCATCACTGCTGTCCAAGTCAATCCTGCCCAAAGGCAGTACTGGAGCACTGGAACCAGGGGTGACCTCCACTCTTGGGCCACAGAAACCATGAAGGAAGCATGAAAGATCTGATTGTCTGTTTACCATGGACATGGCTGTAGGGGTCTGAGACTTAGCTGCCTTTGGAGCCTCAGGGCAGGACAGGAAGTTGCATCTCCAGCCTTTGGGTGACACTGGGGAGTGCCCTGGCCAGAACACCTTTTGTGGCTTGAAAATAAACTTTCCTTCCCACCGGCTGTTTTCGGACCTCCTCTTAAGCAGGTCAGATCTTGAACGAGAGAGAGTTGGAGTTTAAGGAGAGGAAAAAGAAAAATCCTCAGTGCACTGCAGTCGGGTTCCGCCCACATAGCATTGGCAGTATGGTATAATCCCCCGTCTGGCCTCTGAGTTTCCTCAGATTGCCTGCCATACAGCTGTAATGGGCTCAGAGCTTTTCCTCAGTTTCCCAAGGGAGAAACCCTCCTTAACCGGGGCAGGGGGGAGAGAGAGAGACAGAAAAGGTCGTCCTGAGAGTTCCACCATAGCTAGGCCGTGGAAGGAGGGGTTTCTCCTGGAAAACAGACTCCATTGGAGTGCCGGACGCTCACGGTCACATTCCTAGGCTGCCTTTCCCAGTTAGGCACAACCTATACCAACTTTGGTTCAGAAGAGATTGGGTCCCTTGGTGGTCGCCAAAATGTTATGTGCCGGTGTCGAGGGTCCTTCACAGGCCAGAGAACTGGCTCGTGAGGCAGCTGAATGATGAGCCAAAGCCAATATATGAAGTGGGATTTATTAGAGAGAAAGGAAAGGCTACAGCTAGGGAACTGCAGTGGAGCGTGGAAGCTGGTGGCTCGCTGCACAGGTGAAGGCTGGGGTTTTTATGGACGTTTTAACTCTGGATTAGGTGGGTTTGTCTCATTGGCCATGGATTCGCGGGCTTTCTCAGGTAAACTGGTTTGGTTTGCACCTTTATTGGGGGAAAGGAACAATCTTGAGAGCATTTTGCTCATCAGCCCTGTGGCAGATCTGTATCTCTCCTTGAGGATGCAGGAATGCAGGCCTCCATCTCCTCAGGATGTAGGAATGATATTGCCCTGCATGGGGGGTGGGATACTCACTCATCTGCCTTAGGTCTCCAGATCCAACAAAGTGACACTTGGAGGAGTGGAGAACTCAAATTATATTTTATGCCAGTGGGCACAGGCTTATACCATGTCTGAGTATTGAACGAAGGATTCACAGGATATTTAAAAGGCAGTGCAAGGCATCAGGTTACTAGGAATGTGCTCTGATTAATTAGGGGCTAGTAGTGAGCTAGAGACCTAAGGTTGTTTAGATAAGAACAGCAGGGGAGTCCTGCTTTGGAAAGTTTATTTACAGGTGGAGATGAAGAAAGGCGGGAATGGGCGATTATCTCTGCGTGGTGCCCTTTTTCCTCGGGCCTGAACTTTTTGCATGGCTATAATGGGCAAGTTCTCAGTCTTGTTTGAGGTAACCTCTTTTACAGCTTTTAATTGGCAGCTTCCCATGTTTTTTGTCCCTGTTTCAAGGATATCTTCCTCTTCAGTATTGGTGATTGAATTCAGAGCCTTGCACTTGCTAGGTAAGCACTCTACCACTTGAGCCATGCCTCTAGTATTTAAGCTATTTTTATTTGTATTTTATTTCTTGGTGGTATTGTGGCTTGAACCCAGGGCCTTGTGCTTGTTATGCAAGTGCTCTACCACTTGATTCATGGCCCAGCCCTTTTATTTGTATTCAAAAACTACATAAAAAAATTTTTTTTGATGGCACTGGAGTTTGAACTCAGGGCCTCGTGCTTGCTGGGCATGTGCTCTACCACTTGAGCCACCCGCCAACCCTATATTTAAACATTTTTAATTGTGCCAAAATGCACATAAAATTTGCCATCTCAGCCATTGCTTCTTTTTCACTTAATTTCACCATTTCAGCCATTTTAAAATGTACTATTCTGTAGTGTTAAGAATATTCACTATTGTACAACCAATCTATAGCACTTTATTCTTGGTAAACTAAAACTCTATCATTAAATAACAACTCTTTGGACTTAAAGGAATATAAATATGAGTGAAAAAAACCCCAATGGGTTATCATCATCATTTAGCTTTTTCTCCTAGATCTTAAAGTCAGCTGTCTATTCTTGTGTATTAGCAAGAATAATGCCAGCTCCTTAATTGCAGATGAAGAGGGGATGATAGGAAATGTTATCTCAGGAGCTTTTCACATGTTAATTGCCATTGTCTGTAGGCTGGAAGTAAAAAGTTTAACCGAGCCAGACTCTTGAATGTGGGCTACATAGAAGCTCTCAAGGATGAGGTTTGGGACTGCTTCATATTCCACGATGTGGACCTGGTGCCTGAGAACGACTTTAACCTTTACACATGTGAGGACCAGCCCAAGCACCTGGTTGTTGGCAGGAACAGCACTGGATACAGGTAAGGCATCTGTGCCATGGGCTGCTCACATGAACATAGCGTTTGAATGTCTTAGGAAAGCAAGAAATAGGAAAAAACAGTCCATTTTTCCTCAAAATGCAAGCCAGGAATTGGAGAATGTAATAAGGAAAAAAAAAAAATCCTCTTGACCAAGCATGGCAAAGGCAAAGGAGAGAGAATGTAATCCAGGTGTTTAGAATGGGGCCAGCTCATCCTGCAGCACTTTTTGGAGGACTTTTGCAAGCGCTCCTCAGGGGTAGAATTCCAATAACTTTCTGTCTATCTCTAACTTCTCCTCTAGGAGGAACAAGATGATGCCTTTAGACCAGCTTTTAGACCTGACACATCTTTCCAGACCACAGCCTCTTTCCAGACTCCTGGGGAGAAATGTGGAGGGACAAATGCATTGAGTATTCTGCTCAGGAGCCAGGGCACCCAGGACAAGCTCCTTTCTCTCAAAGCCACTTTGGGAAGTGCTAGGGACCACTGTCTCCTCATTCTGTCCCTAGGAGAGGCATAGTGGCTTTTAAAATTTATTTTATACCAGTTTCACATCCAACTGAGGGGAAATAGTGCCCAAGCCTATGTATGTGCACATTTACCTGTGAGCTCCTCTGGAGCCCCACCGTTCACGTGACTCATAACTTACGGCTAAGAGCCATGTGACCAGTTTGAATAGGCAGAGCACCTGCCCTCTAAAGCATCCTGGAGAGGGCTGGTGTGGGTGACAGGAAGATCCTGAACAATTGCATTATGATTGCACCTCCACAAATACGCCATAGCACTTAGGCAAGGATGGGGACAGCTGGAGAGGAGTATGGGAGAATTAGAGAACTACAGTACTGTAAAATAATAGAGGAGATTCTACCATTGTGGTCCTTATGACTAGAAACTGAATTTCTTTCTTTCTTTTTTTTTTTTGGTGGGACTCTGAATTCAGAGCCTCATGCTTGTAGGCAGGTACTCTATCATTTGAGCCACTCCACCAGCTCTTTTTTTGTGTTGGCTATTTCAAGGTAGGATCCAGCAAATGCCTGGGCTGGCTTCCAACCTTGGTCCTCCTGATCTCTGTCTCCTGGGTAGCTAGGATTATGGGTGTGAGTCACTGACACCTGGCGTGGAAACTGAATTTCTTATTACCTCACTTGGTCTTGGCTTCCATGTTGTTCTTACAGTGTAGGACTGTCATTGTAGACTTACTTAAGAGAATTCTTGAGTAACACTGACTGTAAGTGACTGGCCTTAGGTACTGACTTTGCAAGCCATGCAATAGAACCAAGCACCTAGAATGAGTTATGATGAGAGCACAAAATCTTTTAAGAACACTTGGGAAAGGATTTTAACCTCTTGGGATCAATAGGAGCTTCCCAGTAGAGTTCCAGGCATGCCAGAGAGCGTGGCCCAGTGTTGGGGCAAATGTGAGTAGTTCTTTGGTATTCTAAAATGAATGTTGGGAGGAGAGGCAAGAGATACAGGCCTTGCTTAGTCTGCTAAGAAGTCTGCATTTCCTGTGGGAGGAGGCAGAGAGCTGTTGTAGATAGGTGGGGAAGTGCAGTTCAGCTGACTTTAACATTTGATGGAGCAAGGTAAGAGGGGAGAAGCTGAGGGAGAAGATGTCACATGCCTGAGTGAGAGCAGGGGCTTTCAGCCCACAGAGCAGTGAGAGACTCAGGATTTTTCTGTTTGGGGGATCTTGATCTTTGGATCTGGAGATGTTATTTTCTGTTTTCCTTGAGAGATTTTCACATTGAAGAAAGCAGCATATCATGACTAGGCACCCTGTTTTTTCAGAAGCACCTCACCATCTGTTCACTTATTGTGTAAAATTAGTAAGATGTCACTCAAACATAGAACATCTGGACTTGAGACACTAGCCAGAGATGATAACCTTAAACTTCCCATTGCGCTGTTCTTCCTGAACGACCACATGGGATTACTTAAGGACAGACTTGGCTGGGTTATGCATTGTATATTCATATTTAGCTGGACCATAAGAAAGTATAGTGCTTGGGCATTCCTGCAGGGTGTGATTTTGACTTAGTATTTCAGTTTTCCTATTATGGATTCTGTCAGATGCTACACACTTGAGGAACCATCCCATGCATGAATCTTGCTGTGTAACTTGCTATTGTAACTGGCGAGACATTACTTTTATAACTAGATACCAGAAAGCCCTTGTCTCCTTTGAGGAACTCATATTTTCTTAAAGCAACCAAGTAATTCAATGTGCCTCTCCTTTTGATCTGAATGTAAGAAACTCTTAGCCAAACTGTGACCTTCTTTTAGAAATGGAAAATAATCTTATTTGCAGAACAGAGTTCTAGTATATTTGAGGGGGGGTTGTGGTGCTAGGGATCATCCCATGGCTTTGCACTTATAGACAAGTGCTCTGCCCCAGCCCTGATCTTCCTCACTCATTCTTCTGTTGTGACTTAGATTTTTCTCTGTTACTGGTTTGTCATTTATAGTTTTCTATTGTATTATATGCATCATATAAGCTGCCTCATCTTTGGTGACCAAGAAGAGGTGTGTGCTTCCCAACTGTTTAACCTTTGCAGCTCTGGGCAAAATCCTGCCACTTGGCAAGTTCAGATACAGGAAGCTAAGTGTCTGCCCCCCTGCCTTGAAGTTTTATCACTGTACCAACACCCCCATAAATAAAAGTACAAGAAATGTTTTCGCTTGTCACATATTCAGAGGGAGGAAGACAAAGTAACTTCCCCAAATGTCTCAGGCTCTTACCAAGCCAGAAGTAAATCTTGCTTGTCATTTGTTAGTGATAAGCTCTCTGGACTAGCCTGTGGCAGATTTACTGCCAAGAATTCCTTTGGTACCTGCCTGCTTTCTACCAGGAATCTACTGTAATTTATTTATTTATTGGTGGTATTGGGGTTTGAACTCAGAGCCTCACACTTGCTAGGCAAGCACTCTACCACTTGAGCCATGCCCCCCCAGCCTTATTTTGCTTTTGTCATTTTTCAATTAGGGTCTCCAGCCATGATCCTCTTACCTGTGCCTCTGTGTAACTAGGATATCAGGTTTATTGATTGAGACAGGGTCTTGATAACTTTTTCACCTGGATTGGCCTTAAACCTCCTGCCTTTTGTTGTTTTATGGCTATGCTTCCTCAGCTTGGGAACTTATTGGCCTTAAAAATACATAAACTTGTTCTAAGGTCAAATAAAATTTATGCTTTTCTAGATAAGAATTAAAACCAAAAACAAAGGCCAACAAAGAAAGTTGCCTGTGATTCAGGAGTTCCTTAACTTTCCCCTTGACTTGTCTCCTGTTCCTCCCACCCTAGTAGAGCCTACCTACAGGTGTTTCTCAGAGAGCCTGCACTTTTTTCCTAACCAAGTTCTGGCCATCAGGAAATCCCCCACTTATCTGCCTGTCTCAATCCTTCCAGGCTCAGCAATTCCTGCTGTGGCAGTGACTCCTTTCTTAGAACCCTGGGGTTGTCCAGGAGGGCAGAGCCCCTGTCTCACCATGCTCTGCCAGCTGTCCTGCACATGGCAGACAGTGGGAATGACAGATCCCTTCCAGAGCATTGAGCTGGTCCCTTGTGGGGGCTGCTTGTTAGTACCAGGCAAGTTATTTCTACTCACAGGTCCTGACAAAGCTGCTGTCTTCGGGTAGGTGACAGTCCTTTCCCCGTCAAAACAGTGATAACCATGGCCAGAAGCCACTGCTAGTAGAGGTTTTGGTTAGTAGTTGCCATCTGTTTGTTTTTGGTTGCAAAAATACTGTTTTCCAGAATTGTAGGTGGGCCACATAACTGATGGTTAATCTCTTTTTCGTTTTTGGTGGTGCTGGCATTTAAACTCAGGGCCTTCTGCTTCCTAGGCAGATATTCTACTGCTTGAGCCATGCCTCCCCTCAACCCTACCCACCCTTTTTGCTTTAGTTTATTTTTCAGGTAGGATCTCCTGCTTTTGCCTGGGGCAGCCTGTGGACTGCAGTCATCCTACCTATACCTGTCATGTAGCTGGGATTACATGTGTACCTACTCCACCATACTTGGCTTGTTTATTGAGATAAGGTTTCACTAACTTTTTGCCTGGGCTGGCCTTGAATCTCCATCTTCTCTGTCTCTGCCTCCTCAGTAGCTGGGATTAGAGAAGTGAGCCATCAGGCCCGGCCGGATGGTTAATCTTGATTCTCAACTTGATTTGGATTGAGAAACACTAGATTAGTAAAGCATGTCTCTGGGTTTGTCTTTGAGAGCTTCTAGAGATAGTTAGGTAATGAGAGCTCTGGTATAATCAACAGTTTAATCCACTGATGGATTCATGAGGTGATGGAAACTTTTGGAGGTGGGCATAGCTGGAGGAGATTACTGGGAATATGTGCTTGGGGACTGCATCTTTCTGGGTCCCTTGCTGGTCTCCTTCTCTGCTTTCTGACTCTGATGAGATGGCAGCCTCCTTGGCCACCCCTTTCTGCCACGATGGGGGTGCTCTGCCCCTCACAGGCCTGATAGCAATGAAGTCAGCTGGCCATGGACTGAAACCATGAGCCAAATCAATTTTTCCTTCTTCTGAATAGTTTCTCTCAAGTATTTGTCACAGTGACAAAAAGTCACACTACAACAAAAACTAAATCTGTTTTTATTATGGGCTAAACAGGGTCCTCTCTGTACTCAGAACATGAAGGAAACAGCTGAACTACAGATTAGCGTTTGGGCTTCCATTTGTTAGACAGCAAGTGTCTACATGTCTATTGATCTTTCCTTTTGGTTTTTCTTCTTATCTGGAAAAAAAAACCCAGTATTTAATTGGTCCTAGAACACTTTGAATTGAAGTTAATTAAAGTTAGAAATCCTCTATGCACTCACATCTTTTTATTCAGCAACATCCAAGTTCTGAAGACACTTTCATTTGCATTTTTGAATTATACAGTGTTGTACTTAAGGGTTATCTTTATTTCTCAGGCTGCTAATTTGCCCATGGAAAAGCCTAAGAATCCTGTATGACTGGGATGTGCCTTCTGCCAGTTACTGGTTGGTCTTTTCTCTGGGGTTTTGCCCTTTTCCCTTTGTTTGTTGATAGTTGTAGTGTCTTACAGAGCTTGACCCCACTGCACCCATGGTGTGCTTGTTGTCTTGCCCACTGCATCGTCTTTAGACAATTTCTCCTGCCCCGTGTGTAAGTACTGCCTGCTGCCATCTTGCTTCCAAAGTGTATCGGTACCACTCCTCTCTTGGGGACTTAGATCTGGTGTCTTTTGTCTATTGGCAAAATCCCCAGAGGAGGTCTCTAATTTGGCTTACCCATGACATAATTTACTGTCTTCTCTCAAAACCAAATTACTGTTCTCTACATTATTTCATGAAAGGGACTATTCCCTACCTAGTTGTGCAGGCTGGAAACCCCAGAGCTGGTAAATATTGAGTTCTCTAGGAAACAGAGTCTGAGACAGTGACTTGCAGGGTGTGTACTTTCAGAGTGTGCGGAGGAGCTGTTTCTTGCTCTCCAGTCCTCCCCCTAAGAAAGAAAAGTAAAGTATATTTGTTGTGGCAGTCATTCATGCTGAACCTGGATATAGCCTTACAATCCTTCTTAACTCAGTGCCCTTAGCAGCCATTACCATTCACTGGATAGGTACATGAGATGAAATCTCTCATCCAGATCTGGCGTTGTGGTGCACATTGAGGCATCTCTACAGACATCCACACACCAACATGGGCAGGTACGGGTGGGTGGCACCTTGCTTAGTGTGCAGAGGTGAGCACTTGTCTAGGCAGAAATGTTGGGAAGAGAGGGAAGGCCAGGGGTGCTGGGAGGTGGGTGTTGGATGGGAGTGGACAGATGAAATGAAGTGCATGGTCTGCTGAATGTTCCTGGAGGGTCTGCCCTTTGTGGGGAACCAAAAGGCTTTGCACTAACGTTCTTGTTTTTTCTCTCTTGTCTTGTTCCAGGTTACGTTACAGTGGATATTTTGGGGGTGTTACTGCCCTCAGCAGAGAGCAATTTTTCAAGGTGAATGGATTCTCTAACAACTACTGGGGATGGGGAGGCGAAGACGATGACCTCAGACTCAGGTGAATAACAGAAAAAGACCCTGTATGGGCTCTGCTATTGGTGGTGGCTCTGGGAACCTGTGTTTATGTATGGCTACTATAAATGCAAGTCCAGCTGGCCACAGGACTGCAGATGAGGTTCAAAATGCTGTCATGGAGGGAGGGAAGGAAGACCAAATTGCTCTTTGCCAGTGGCAGCTTAGAAATGATGGAGGATGGTCTACCACTGTGTTTGGGGTGCAGAAGTGTTAGTGGAGGCCTCTGATGCTTTGTCAGTAGTAGTTACTTGCTGAGATGAGGTCTCCCCAGAGAATGGGAAGTCTGCAATTATAGGGTGTTTGTGGAACTGCAATTCAAAGAACGGCCTATTATAAATCTTTTGCTTTTCCTCAGACCTCAGGGTACCCTGGCACTATTATCAGCACAGAGCAGGGAATGCCTCGGCCTCTGAGGATATGCCCCCTTCAAAGCAGACCAGGGAGTCCTCTCTGCACACTGTGGGAACAGCTCCTGGCCTGACTTGCAGGGCTGACTCTGGTCTGTTGGTATGACCCTCAGATTCCCCCAGACCACTTTCTACTCTGGAGGGCCCAAAGGGAATATGCCCAGGATGTCTGGCTTCCTCTCTTACCTCCCTGCCCTGAGTGTACACCAGATAGTTACTGGTGTTCCTGCCTCTAAAAATCAGTAATTATTAGGAGCCCGTGATCAGGATGTTAGACTTCTAATCACAGGTTTCCTGGCTGTCAGCAGACCCTTTTCCTCCTGCTGTTGCCTCTTAGGAAATTTCTAAGCTAGGTTCTGAATGAATAGATGTGTGAGTAAGAAATTTGCTTTGGCGTGAAGTTAGAGGCTCCAAGCTGGTCTTGCTCCCATGTCTGGACTGAGAGTCTCTAGAATGTTTCTGGCAGGTGGGAACAGATTGTCCCAAGTGGGGACTCCCAACCTGTGTGGTTTCAGCTTCTCCAGGTCCTTTCACTGTCCCTGGGGATGATGAGAAGGATTTTGCATTGATTCCATACCTCACTGTCTCTTTTCCTGTTATCCCTCAGTTTCAAGGCAGAGGAGAGCCCCCAAGGTTTGGTTCCATTTCATAAGAACAGCTTGGCCTTCACATTGGCTGTTGACTAATGTTATAGACAATCATAAATGTTGTTGAGATGTATTTTCTGACAATTAGCATGACCCTTCTCTGCTTTTACATAATATATTACAGTTTGCTAAGCATGTTCGATGTAAATTATGTTGTTGGAGTCTTTGAAATCAACTCTGCATCACTACTCTCATTTCACAGACAAGACTGAGACCTGGATAGTGAGTAACTTCCTGAGGTTGTAGAGAACAGAGTCTAGATTTGAAGTAGGTTTGTGGCTTCAAAGCTTGTGACTTTAAGCAGTCATTTCTTTCATTGTTACAAGAAGGCAACACTATTTAGAGATCCTAATAGACTTGATTTTCCTATTCTTCAGGATGTATTCAGATAACTGCTTTATCCAGTTTTTCTTTCTTTTTTTCAAAATGACTAACTATAAATTGGTCTATCTCCTTTGTGTCCCACTAGTAAATGCTAAATGTGATTCTTATATGGGCTTATTGCCCGAGATCCCACCATTATAAGAACATCTGAAATTTTCTGTTTCCTCTTTTTTTGATACCAATTAGAGATGTCTGTGTGTGAGAGAAAGGGAGAGAGAGAGAGAGAACATTTTTTGCAGGTTTCTTTTTAAGTACCTAATGGTAGATAAGTGGGATAGGTTTTTTTTTAATGTCTGTTATTTTTCTAGGGTTGAGCTTCATAAAATGAAAATATCCCGACCCAAGCCTGAAGTGGGTAAATATACCATGATCTTCCATACTAGAGACCAAGGCAATGAGGTGAATGTGGGACGGTAAGTCCTAGGTTCTCTGTCCTCCCTTGTCTTGCCAGTTGGTGAGGACTATGCTGAATTGGATCAGATGAGCAAGTTTGTCTTGTTAAACGCTTCTTATTAAGGAAGTTTGCAACCAGAAACAAAAGTAGGGAGAATGGTACGTGGAACTCTAACTTCAACAACTGTGAATTCACAGCCTCTTTTCTATTCCCTACTTTCTCTCCTCCCCCACTGGATTATTTAGAAATCAACATTCATAGATGTCGTAGCATCTCGTGTAAATATTTCAGTATGCATCTTAAAATATATGAAGTATTATAAGAAGAACCACAAAACCACTATCATGCCTAAAATGGAATTAATAATACTTAATATCATCAGACATTCAGCTACTTTTCAGATTTCCTGATTATTTCATAAATGCTTAAAAGGAAGTTGTTTTTTAGTCTAGTGTATGGACAAGGTCCATATTGTATTTGGATGATCTCTTCTGAACCAGAGGAAGCCCTGTCTTTTTTTTTTTTTTTTTTTTGAGACTGGGTCTTTCTGTGTAGTCCAGGCTGGTATTGAACTTGCAATTCTCCTGCCTCCAGCCTCCAAGTGCTGGGGTTATAGGCATGTACCACTATACCTGTTCACCCTTCTTTTATTCCTTGCAATTTATTTGTTGACCACATCAGGCCATTTTTCCAGTACAATTTCTTAAATTATGGATTTTGCCAATTGTATCCTGGTGATTTAACTTAAGATGTTCCTATGACCTCTTTTTTTTTCTTTTTTTAATAAATTAGGAGTCAGATTTCTGGAAAATTGAACTAATTCTGAGTATGAAGCAAGAGCCCTCATCAATGGAGTTGTTTTCCTCTACTTGTATCCCCACAGGAGGATGCAGAGTCTGGCTGTGTCTTTTTGTGATGTCAGAATTGTTCTGTGGGCTCTGGTGCTACTAGTCTGATTCTCGCCTTGTGAGAGTCCTCATCATTTGTTCACCTAATGGTTTTTAGTTTCCATTGATTCTCATTGCCTAAATGTATTACTTAATCAGGGTTTGAAAAATTGCAGTATCCTAATTCTATCATCCTTTCCTCATTTACTGAATTTTTCTACAAAAGACTTGCCTTTTTGTACCTTAGATACAGTTTTACAGGAAATGCAGAATGAGGGGAAAGAACCAGCACTGAGTTCTCATTTTTCAGAATAATGAGCTGGTGTTCCCTGGTACCCTTTAGGACATACTTAATGTTCTTTTTGATAATCAGGTTGTTTCATCTTTGGCTGATGTGATCATCTTCAAGCTGGCTTCTGAGTCGTTTAGATGTAAGCACAGTAGTCTTTAAGAGCTTCCTGCCCTGTGCTCTGGGGAGGTGAGATGTCCTAACCTCATCTTGTCCTTTCCTGCCCAGGACTTGACCCTTTCCCCAGTGAATCCTCACAGATAAGCAAGTTCTTTTTGCAGTTCTTTTTTTTTTTTTTCTTTTTTGCAGTTCTGATTGAAGAATTTTTGGTTCTTTATTCTGATTTCTCCCCTTGAATTTTAAAGCAGTATTCAAGGACTTTTTAACCCCTTTGTTCAAGTCTCCGTTTTACAACAATATTAAAAGACTTTTAGCTCTTCTATTAGAGGCTAACAAAACAACCTATTTTGTCTTTCCAGTCTTTTATCCGTAGGCATGCATTTTTCTCTTAAAATTAAAAAAGGAATTATTGAATGGTTACAAAGAAATACTTATACCTTGTATGAAAAGTATGAAGATTCTTGATACTCCCACTCCCAATGTACGTCCATGACCTGTGTGGCCTCCCTAAACCCATATCTTCCTTGTTCCCATCCCACCCTTACCCCAAGTAACACTTTCCAGAATTTTTGTGATAATTATTTGTGAGGATAATAATTATTTCTGCTGTTTCTTCATTTTCTTGTTTTCCCATGTTTGAATCCCCAAACAAAAGATTATTTAGTTTTTCTTCATTATATGAATGAAGCCACATGTATTTCTTCTCCTCTGATGTTTTTTAACTCATCACTATGCTTCTGATCTCCATTCATGTTGTGGCTTTTGCTACTGAGCTCCTAGGGACTATTCGGTTCACTGCCCGCACCTCTCCTCATGTTCTTCACCTCTGCCACACAATGACTTGTTCTTCCTCAAATGCATCTTGCCAGCTGGTCTCTCTGCCTGGAGTATCCTTTCCTTCACCTCTTCACCCCTTTTAGGCTTTAGTGGAGTTTACCTTCTTACAGCCTTCTGCATACTCCCTCATGGAGTTAGGTGATCCTTCATTTGTCTTCCTGTACATACAGGCTCACTTTTTTCCTGAGACTCTTATGAAATCTATGTTCCCTCACCACTTACATACACAAAATATTCTCAACAACATTGAAGATCCCCTGAAGTTCATCCAACAACTTATGTGGCACACATCTCGTTTCCTTGTGTCAGTGGTACCTGTACCTCCCTCTGCCCTGTAAAGTGGGGCTCACTGAGGACAGTGACTCTTTCACCATTGGATCCCCAGGTCCTCCATGTGGGGTCTGACACATGGAGACATGACTGTCATTGTTGTCTGTTACCTTCAATGAGAGCAAAACCATTTTTACAGTAGGAAGCCCAATTTATAAAACTAAATTTCCCACACTTTGGGGCAAGGAAAAAAGCAATGGGGACATGTAAAATTCTTGTTTTATCATTCACATTTGTTCTGTTTATGTTTAGAATGAAGCTGTTACACCAGGTGTCACGAGTCTGGAAAACAGATGGCTTATCAAGCTGTTCTTACAAATTACTGTCTGTGGAATACAATCCCTTATATATCAACATCACAGTGGATTTCTGGGCTGGTGTATGACCCTGGATGTTTGGAAGAATCGGTTATTTTTGCAATAATTTTGGTCTAGAGACTTTTCCTAGTAGCATACAGTAAGAACTTGTTGCAGCCAATTAATTGGGCTGAATTTTTCCCTTTTGTATGTTCTCAGCAGAGCTCCTAGTGATATGGAATATAGAACTGTTGTAACAAGACAGCTTTCTTAGTTGTTTTGATTACAAGGGTTAAATGTTGTAATACAGATACTTGAAGGACTAACTATAAAAGAGACAGTACAAAGGATGTAATGAGAGCTACTTGAGAACTCTGGTTGACAACTTAGGAGATAAAAGGCCATGGAAATAAGATTGCCTATGTCTCAGCAAACAAATTGTTCTCATCCAAAATAGAAAGGTACGAAGATGTGTTTCTGTTATTCATTTATCTTGCGTGGTCATCTGTGAAGAGATGGGTCCTGGGTGAGAAGAAGGCCACAGAAGAGGGGAGAAAAGAATCAGATGCAGAGAACTTGGGAATGAAGAGGTGGCCAGAAGACAGAATGTCAGAGAACTGGCAATGCCAGCTGCTGCCACTGCTTCTCTGCAGTGGACACCACCTGCCCAGATACACCTCCAAGTAATAATAGCCCACTAGAGGACACATTATCTACTAGTTTTTAAGGCACTTTTGTAAAATGATTTTGTACATGACAGATATGAACTAGCACATTAGTACCTCTATAGTAAAATATGAAAAAAATTCGGGTGCTCAGTCTTATTTTTTACTGTTAGTAGAGGCCAAAGATGTAATCATTTCAGCATCCAGAATTCTAAACAACTTAAACACAGAACAATGAAACAAAATCCTCTACTGTCTTCTCTTACTACTCTGTTCTGTGTTCAACCATCTTGTACTCCTGCCACTTGAGCCACTCCACCAGCTCTCAACCATCTTGTATATCAACTCCATGGAGCCTCTGGGTCTCATTCCCTGGCCTCTTCAGGTTCTGTTTTTCTTTGCAACAGTGGGGATTGAACTCAGGGCCTCAAGCTTTCTAGGCAAGCACCCTACCACTTGAGCCATGTCCTTTTGGTTTTAGTTTGGTTTTCAGGTAGGGTCTCACCACAGGTTGCCTTGAACTATGATCCTCCTACCTCCACCTCCTGAGTAGCTGGGATAACAGGTGCCACCACACCCTGCCCCAGGTTCTTGTTCTCTTCATACTCTTATGCCTTCTCCTCCCCCAAAATCATTTATGGGAACAGGGCTGGCCTTGGAGGTGCACCTGGTTCATTGTGATATGGTAATCAGGTGTGCAAGTAGTACTTGAGGCACAAAGGGTTTGGTAGGTCTTTGATTTGGAATGATGGTGGGGCCCTGGCACTGACTTGGGTAACTGCAGTGATTTGGAAGAGAAGCCACCAGTGCTGCTGAGCTTCCTGAGGAGGGGAACAGGGGCGGGAGGGAAAGGACCAAAGGTAACTGGAGCCATTCTATTGCTGAGTTGGAACAGCAATAAGAACATTTTGTTTGCTTAGGTGAACTAATGGACACATAAATAATGTTGATAATGGATGGTCATAGGAATTACACAACTGTGTTCCAGGGGCTCTCAATGCATCATTATTCCATTACACTTTAACACAAATGGGTACCAGCCAGTATGTGTAAACAGTATCTAATCCTTCCTGAATACAGAGAGGGAACAGGAGGGTTTGGAGAAAGATGAGGCGTCCCACTGAAGTGGGGAAGGAGGACTTGAAAGGCCAATGCATTTTATAGATATGGCAGTTTACCTAGGTCTAACCTGGTTTCCCTTTTATTAAGCACCTGGAGCAAATTTGTGTTTTTTCTTTATTCAGCAAGATGGTACTCATGGTTTTCATATTTTCTGTCCAAACCTTACAAAGGAGCTTTGCTGTTGGTGTATAGTGCAGTGAGTAAGCCTCCCCATTTCCTTCCCTCTTTTCTCCAGAACCTTCTGTAGCATTGTGTCCAGTTCTCTTAATGATGAAGCGATGAAAGAATTGCAATGTGGAAACTATGGGTCCCTGCAGATGGTTGGGTAGGGTGATGGAGGACAAAGGTGTGTTTGAGGAATTTGAGAATTCATATTTGAGAACTCAATTTCTTATTTAATGGAAACAGAAGATAGCTAATACCATGGAGAAACTCCCCACTTGTTGTTGTTGTTGTTGTTATTAACAAGGGATCTATGTTTTTTGATGTTGGAAAATACTGAACTATGCCTTCCACTTTTCTTAAGCTAATTCTTTCAGCCAGGATAATATACACAATCAGTTTGTATGAAATTTATTGAGGTAGAAGACAATTTTTAGGATCTTCATGTGACTCTGTGCCACTTGACTGGTGTAGAGAGTACAAGGCCCAGTGACTGACTGGCTGGAGGCTGTGGCTACCTGTTACTAGTTGCTGCTCTCCTCCTCACTCTTGCTTCACAGCTGGACAGGAATCTGGCTTCAAGAAACTGAGCTGCTCCCAATTCCTGCCCTGCATGTTTGGTTGTTGTCAGTTGCCATAAAGAGGCTGAGCATTTTGAATACAGTAGAAACAGCTATCCCTACTGGAATTGCTAAAGATTATATGGACGCAACTATTTTGAACATCACAATTCCCTGACACCAAGAGTGTGCTGCTTTGCAGTTTTCATTGATTTTTTTCTCACTTATGCTGGCATTCATTTTATGGCACTTACAGATAGTGATATTTTTATACATACTTTATTGATGATGCAGACTCATGAGATATGAGGGGCAGATGAGGAAGTAGAGGTCAGAACAGGTGGGGTCATTGCCAGAAATCCCATGGCTTGGAAGTGACAGAATCAACGCCAACCTCAGGTCTTCTGATTCAAGATGATCATACCATTTTGCCTTCATCTTGCTTCATTCCTTGAAGGGGTTTTCCTGAATCTGTATCCCTGTCCAAGTTCCTACAGACGTTTGCCCTTTTCTGGACCCTAAAATGTATATTTAAGTTCTCACCTTTTTTTGTGATCTTTTTTCCAGGCACTCTTCCTAGTTATTCTGACCTTAGCCCTCCCATTTCCACCTAATCCCTAATTGGATAGGTTTCTTGGGAGCCCCCAAATCTCTGGGAACAGACTCTTGAGAAAGGTGAAAGACATTTTATGCCAGTCTTGAAACTTCATCCAAGACCCATGCATAATACAGTCACTGTCAAGAGCCATTAACAAACATGTCCTTCAAGATGGAGAATGTTCAGGTACATTCGTAAGTTCTTGTCATTGGTTTGTAGCATAGGGAACCATCTTATACCTGCTGAGAAGGTTTGACAAGTCCCAAATCCACACAAGGTCCCACCCCAGGAAGCACACCTGTACAGATAAAGGCTCCATTGTTCCATTGACAGTTGTTAAGAATTCAAATAAATATTGAACCTTCTGTGTATATGTTTATAAATGTGTGTTTGGGGACTTGGAAGAGAGGTTGGTAAAGGGTGGGGCATAATAATTAAATACTTGCTCTTTATTACTTTCTCAGTTTTTTAAACTTTTACGTTATTTTAATATTTTTTTCAGTGCTGAGGATCAAACCCAGGGCCTTGTACAATGTTGGCAAGTATTGTACCATGGGGCTACATGCTAGCTCCCTGCCTGTGTTATTAAATTTTAACTTTCTAATAGCCATGTAGGTATATATATGTGTATGTATACGAGTGCGTGTATGTGTGCTGCAAAGCAAAAACAGATAGGAAGGTAGTAAGAGGAGGAGGTAGATTTGAGTTCAGGTCCATCTTGACACCTATATTGTGTTTTCATCCCCCTCCCTGAAAATCATAATTTAAGATGATAATGAGATTTTCCTGTTAGGGCAGTGAGAACAGACATCTTTTTTTTTTTTTTTTGCTAGGATTCTAGAAAAAATACAGAGAATTTGAGATTAAAATGTCTTAACTTGATGACTCTAGTACATTGTTCCACTATTGAATGAGTTTTTCTGAAGAGTTATTACTCATACCTATTGTTTGGACCCTATTTGGTTATTGAGCATATCACTTGAAGCAAAGTAGCATTAGTCGGTGTGCTCCCATGGATTATGGGCCAACCAGAATTCTTCAGGGCGAATTTATGATACAGCTTCCTGTTAGGTATCTCTTATAGGCCATTAGCCATTCTCATGTACACTTTGCATTCTTACAGAAATCCTCCCAGTCCTGTGTGAGGATAGGCCCACTTTTCCCACTTTTAGTTCCAAGAAGCTAAGTGACTTGTCACAGTCATGTGGAGCTGGGATTTGAAGCCAAGTATTTGACTCCAAAGCCCATGTTCTTAACCACTGCATGGTGGCAGATAAGTAAAAACAGAAGAAACAAGAATGCGTAGAATTATCTGGAGAATGTCAATACCTTTCAGCCAACCCCCCACCAAGAATACATCTGTAGATAACTGAATTGGGTTGGGTGGTGGCCAAAGGACCGACAATGCTTGTTAGATGGGAGGAATAATTTTGACAGTTCTATTGTGAAAAAAAAAATGGTCTTATGACTTATTGCAGAGAGTGAGAATGTCTCAGAGGAAGCCATTGAAGTCAGTCAGTAAATGGGCTTACAAGGAACCTGTGATAGTATTTGGGCTTTAGTTGGGTCATTTGAGAAGGGTTCAAGGAAGCAGGATTTGCTCCAAATTGGATGCTGTCAGGATGCAGGGCCTAGCACATGATTCTGTCTCAGTAAGTTTTATTTGTAGGGAGGGAGACTCACAGAGAATAAAGCTGTCATTGGTAAGTTGCAACAGTCACTCGTTTAGCCAAGAAAGATGTTTATTGTTTTGTGCTTAGACACACAGTGACCTTATTTTTGTGCTTGACATAATTATGAATTATGAAATGCCTTTGCTTTGCCTCATTTTATCATGGTCTCACAATGACCTGACCTGAGGTTGTTGTTCCATGAGATTGTTTATGTTCAGCAGGAAATGGGCAGAGCCTAACTATGATGCCGGCCCATATCTGAATGTCAAGGTTTCTCTGTCTTCCTCTTTCAAGAGAAACTCAGGGGCAGAGACCATTAGAAAGTAGGGCATGACAGTATAATTTCTCTTTAGCCCCAGGGCTTAACTATTTGTTTTCTAAAGATCTGTGTGGTAGGAAGCTTGGGGATTGTGAGCTGGGGGAAAGGTAGGTGGAAAAAGTGTCCTGCAGCTATGCAATCTTAGCAGTGGCTGCCTTTCTCTGAGATATTTCTGAGTTTCCTCATAGGATGTGACCATCTGAGCCTTATGCTAAACTGTCACCCATGAAAACAAGTTTAGCTTACAGCCAGCCTCTGCTGTGTTTCTCTGATTCTGTTTCACAGCAGTTGATAAGGATTTGAGTGAGGTGAGACAGGGAAGGGAGGGAAAACTAGATACAAAATGGGAAAAGCAATTGTTCACCCAACAGAAAGGAGAAACCAGATAAGTTTCTAATTCTTCAACCACAGCACAGCTTGTCAATCAGATAAATGGTGTGGGGGGGGTGTTTGAGAAGAGATTAGATTTTTCAGTTTCATGTATTATTTTTTCCTTTATGGATATCCAGAAAGTGATCTGCTTCAAGTAGCATCAGATCCTGTTTATTCTGGCTGATGAGGAAAAAGGAAAGTTCCAGGGCTGACAAACATGAGCCCTGAGCCTCAAATGTTAAATGTAAACAACCCTCCAGGAACCTGAGCAGCCATGTAGGGAAGGAAATGGTGAA